AATAAGTCATTGCAACACCCATACATATTACATACTCACTTATGTTCATATCGACATAGACTTATGGACACTTATAGACGTGCTCTGCACATGCCTTTGTGCAAGACACTACAGACTGTCTATCCAACATCCATCCCCACTTCTCTTCCTTCCTGGCAGAACTCTGTCAGCTGACCGCCCTTCTTCCAAGCAGCTTTGTGTTTTGAGAGGCTGATCCCATCCTCTGCCCCAGGAGGGAGATCCTGATGCGTTTAAACCAAACTTGGTGGTCTCGTGCCCTTAACAGAGATGGGTTCAGCTCTGGCCATGTTTAGTTCTAGCCAATGAGATGTCGGGGGAAGTAGGCTTGGGCTTCTGGGAAAACTTCCTCATTCTTAGGAAAGTCACCCCAGAAGCAAAGATGTATTTGCCAGTCACTGGATTCCTAGTGTCTGAGTGTGGGGTATGGAAATGCCGCAGACATTCTGTGGCCATGAGGATGTGGCATTAGGCAAGTGGAGAGGTGGAAAGAACAGAGGCCCTTCAAGACATTATTGATCAAGGCAATCAGTCAACTTGAGAGTCCTCCCTCCTCACTTCTGGAATTCCAGTCATATGAGATAATAAGTTTATTTATTGCTGGGGGGGTTGTTACTTATTATTCGTTTGTTTTTGCTTGTAATCTAAGGCAGCCAACTAATACCTACTGTCATCTCAGTAAATAAACACTCCCACATCCCAGTGCACAAATAAATCCAGGCCCACACTCAGACAGTCACAGCTGAGCACTGTGCACTCTGATTTTCACATATACACAGGACATAACCATACTCCGCATGTATACACAGAGAAAGCACAGATCTGTCTCCGCACACACGTACACATACACACATCCCTTCTCACACGTGCACTCGACTCCTGGGTACAATACCACAGACACCAATACACCTGGGCAGTGTGCCCAGAGGAGCACAGAGACACGCACACTGGTCACCCTGATACCAACATGGATTCACCCATTCCTGCCCACGTCTGAATAGCCGCAACAAACATATTTCACAGCTCTGGGGGGCTCCATGGCTGCAGTGAGAAGCCATTGGCAGAAGCCAAAGGCACCTCATCCGGGGCTGACAGAAGGTTCTGGAGAGAGTCAGGAAAGAGGGACCTGGAGAACAGAACGTGGCCCCGGAGGCAGGAGGTCACGTCCAGTGTGACCTGAAGATGCGCGGCAGCCCCGCGGTCACGGAGGCTGAACTCAACGTGGCACCAAGGAAGGCTGTGGTCATCTTGTCCCCACCTCAGAGTGGAAAGAAAAGCTTCCTCTCTCCCACCCAGCCCCTCCTTTCTTGCTGCCGCGAAACCCACTCTGCCCTCCAAGGGGCTCTTTCGGCTCTCCTTGTAGGCAAACAATTGAATTCAACATTGCACGAAAGTGAAATTTCACCATTGATGGCAGAGAGAAAATACGGGTAGAGAGCAAAAATATATGCAAAGTAGCACTGTGAGTGTGGGGGGGTTCTGATGATCATGAGGTTGTAGCAGTCAGGGCGTGACAGAAAATGAGGCTGGGGGAGGTGGGCAAGAGCTGCGGCGGGGTTCTGAGTTGACCTCGAAACTCCACAGCCCCATCTGCTCATGCCCGGGACCCCTGGTGCCCAGCAACCTTGCACTTAGCCCTTCATCTTCCCTCCATTGGTCTTCTCATGGCAAACACCTAACTCAAACTGATAAGCAAGATGTTCTGGGAGATAAGGTAGCAATAAGCAAATTTCCTTCCTGGATTGTGTACATATGTATTTGGACTTTATTCTCTCAAGCTCCCCTCTTTTGTATCTTCCCATAACCCAGAGGAGTCATCAAGGACATTCTTGTTAAATTCGTTTTTATTTATCCACTGACAATGTAAATTCATCTTTCAGAAAATTTGCATTTCTAAGTTTAGTAAAAAGCAAGTTCCAAAACAGCACATGTGGTACGATCCCATTTTGGATAAAATGTTGGTATGTATATTTATGTGTGCATCATAATAAGGTCTGGAAGCATATACACACCAACTCTACGTTAAACAACAGAGTTACATCTGAGTGATGGCTCCCCCACCCCGCAAAACATCCGAGTGATGAGATTACAGATGATCCTTATAGTTCTTCAGCTCTGCTGCATTTTTCTGAATTTTATGCAAAAAGCACATGTTACTTTTATCACTAGGAGAAAATGATTTCCAACTAAAAAAAAAAAGTAATCTACATTTTTGCCAAAAGTAAGAAGTTGATTGTAAGAAAGTGGGAATAAGGAGAAAATTTCAGGGAGAAGTGACAAAAGGGGAAATGAAATCGACTTGTGCATGATTGATGGAACCTTGCAGGGGTCTTCAGGAGCCCTGACCTGCCCTTACCAAGGGAGCCTTGCCTCTCATCCTCTGAACCAAGGCCCACCAAACAGGCAAAGAGAATCATAGAAAAAGCTCCCAGTTCAAGGAATGTCTGATCTAGATGGCAGTCTCAGTCACGTGTGTGGGAAAAAACATGCCAGGCAGGAAATGAGAGGTGAGCAGGAGAGAGAACTCACCTGGGGGTGGGGACATACTGGTTCTGTTCCCAGCTCTGGCACCTGGGGCCTTGGGCAAGTTGTGTCACCTGTGTGAACCTGTCTCTTATCTATCAAGGAGGTATAATGATAAGATGGGGATGCTGTGATGATCAGATGAGATAAACTATCTGTGACCGCTCTGTGAACTCCTGAGGTGTGCCATAGGTCACTTTTGCACCTGCAGCAGTGCCTCTGGTGCAAAGGAATCCATCCATCCCTAAGATGGAAATTCAGACCCTAGCAGTAGGCAAGTGGGGTAGACCATTTCAGGGCAGGGCCACCTTTGGATGGCTCTTAAAAATCCCACCACGCAGCCTGCAGCCTGCACAGCTTTGACATTACAGAATATAAAGTCAGGGAGGGCACCTGGGTCTCAGCACAAAGACCCACACAGCTGGTTCCCCTCTGCACAGCGGTACACACCAAGGACAAAAGCATAAGAGCAGCCACTTGCTGGCCTTCTCTGAATGTCCAGTCCTTTCCATAAATTTAACTGCCTGCTCCGGATAATTACTTTTCTCCTGCTTGTGAGCTTAGAGCAACAGTAGTTCCCAATAACTAGACTTAATAAGGCTAAATTATAATGAGTGTCCTGCGGAATTACATAGCGCATTAACACCAAATGAGATCATTAGAAATTCATTAGGAGTGATTCCTGTGGCTGTCACAGGAATTAATCACGTTTAGCCAGCGGCAGGAGAGGGGGCGATGAATAAATGCACAGGGAACTGGATGAAGACCTCTTGGCATCTGACTTTGGCCCGAAGCAATATTTTTCGAGGGTCATGGGCTGCTTTGGTTGTAAGTTTGGAGGTGAGGTTGTTTGGGTGTTGTTGGATCTACCTCCTTGCTTCCTCCTCCTTCCTGGCTCTGGTGCCTGGCTAGGATTAGACCCACAAATGTAGGGGTGGCCAATCTTCTTTTCCAGTCCTGGGGCGCTGAGAAATTATAGAGAGGACTTAGGGTTCTTGCCTGCATGGCATGCATGTCCCCTTCCTCTGTAAGAGCCCTTCCAAGTCCTTTCCGTGTTCCTTGAAGACCTTTCCTACCCACTGCTGGATAGAGGCCTTCATGAGACTGTCCGTCAAGACCCACCCCCAGGGCTTGGATACAGCTTAGCTAGGCCAATTGAACTTTGTCTCCTGGTACTTTTTTATTAGCTAGCATGTACTAAGTATTTGCTAGGTGCCAGGCCCTTTTCTAAGTATCTTCATATATTGAGTTATCAATGCCTCCATGTCTCTAGGAGGCAGGTTTAATTGTTAGCCCCATTCTGTCAACGAGGAGGAATCTCAAACACAGAAGTTAAGTGACCTGTCCAGGTGATACAGCTAGTAATTGGCTGAGCTGGGAATCGGAGTCTTCGGTAGAGGGTTGCAAGGATGGAGGGCGGTTGAAGGTGAGTCCCTGGATGTCAGTTTCCCAAGGGGTCTGTGTCTTCTTTCCCCCTTGCTCTCTGGTGCTACAGGCTAACTTGAGGTCTCGTGGTTTTGCTTTTCCACTCCTTCTATCGCTACCCCACACCCTCCAAGAAATATTCCCCTTTTAAAATTTTGTCACCAAGAATCAGAGTCTGTACTTTCATCTGAAAGAGCCCCGAATCACCCAGCAGGTATTTGTAAAGCCCTTGCCGCTGTACACGTCACACAGAAACAAAAGGCCGATTTCTGCCCTCCGGCTGCTTGGGTCTCAGATGGAAAAGCAGTGGGAACAACTGAATCCTGAGCTCTCCTGTGCAGGTTCCAAGTGGAAGACAGGAAGACCTGAGTGGGCTAGATGGGAGGAGAAAAGCTTTCATCCAGGGCACAGCACGTGCTCTCTGGGGAGAGTCACGGTCATGGACACCTTTGATCATCTGCCCATCCCACAGTCCCTTCTTCAAACACTTCCCTCTCTACTCAGTACAGCCAGACCTGGTGGCTAAGGTGGTGCCTCAGGACCCCACTGGTGGGGAGAAGCATCTGCACCCTGCCTCTGTTTAGAGAGCTCCCCCACTGCATGGACTCCACCTTCCAGGACGAAGCTGAAAAGGCCAGATACTCGTGTTCCCATCACCCCGTCACGAGGTGCCTGCGTGTGAACTGGGTTTGACCAATCAGACACCCCTAATGAGCTGCAGAGAAGCAGGGGCAAGAGAATCCATTCTGGTGGTGGTGGGAGCCACGATCAGTGCCCAGGGGAAAGGTGGCTTCAGTGACAGGGCGCAGTGCCACCGCTGATAAGGGCTGCAAACTCTCCAGTCCAGCTTTTGCTGGTACTGGCGGCGGGATCCTCACAAAAACCATTTCCCTACTTGTTTTCCAAGCCTGAAAATTATGTGATCTAGTTGATATCCTTACAGTACATTTCTTTTCTGTTCAAATCGGTTTCCATAGCTCGCGATGAAGAGCATCTGGCTCCCTGCCCACGGCTGATTGGACCAGAGGTGAACACTTGACTCAGGATGGACCAATCAGATTTTCTCTCTCTTGGCTTGGCTTCTGTTGCCTGTTCTGAAAGCCCTGTTGTCTGCCAGCACGTGGACAGCAGAGAAAGGAGGTGTGTGGAGAATCAGGTGGACACAGAGAGAAGCTGCAGATGGAGTCGGGGGCGGGGAGAGAGAGAAAGAGAAAGAGAGAGAGAGAGACAGATTCCTTTAGTGCCTCATGAAGTCTGTTTCCACCCCTTTGGGTTCCCTGAGTTGCCTCTGCAGCCTTAAAAAATTAGGTTGAACCATGTGAAACTGTTTTTATAGGTCGAAAAGGTCAAATAGCAGCAATTATGCATGCTGTAACCTGTTAAGTTCCCCTTTTGGCCTAAGCTGGTCCAAGAGGGTTTCTTTACTTGCAACCCAAAGGGCTTTGTCCGCACCAGTCAGACATTCCATTAACTCAGAAGCAGGGAGTGGAACAGGCAGAGACACAGAGCAGAAGCAGGAAACAAGGGGTTTTCCTGTCTGGCAAAGTGCTTTGTCCCCCGTGAGGAGGTGGCCCTGCAGACCAGTGGCCACAGGACTTCCCATCTCGTCTCCGGGTACTGACTCTGAGGTCACCGTCCTCCGCTGCTTTATCACCCAGGAACTCCCGGAACAAGTTCAGCTCCACTCTACTCGCCTCAGTTAATTCCACAGTTGACCCTTGAACAGCAGGGGTTTGACCTGCCTGGGTCCACTTATATGTGGATTTTTTCCAATAGTAAATGGAAAAGTACTACACAATCTGCAGTTGGTTGAGTCCACGAATGTGGAGGAAGCACAGATACGGGGAGGGGGGCAAGTTTTCCACGGATTTTCGACCGAGCCAACTGTCTGTGCCCCTAGTCCCTGGCATTGTCTGAGGGTTAACTGTATTCATGTTAATACATGGTCTTGAATAAGGCTTTCATTTTTGTTTTCTCATATGTGCATCTTTTCCTACCTAACCAAAGTGTCCAATCACTGAGGACTGATCGAATAAGTTGTGATATATCCATACAGCAGATTGTTTTATGGACATCAAAGTGATGGCTGGGGTGGGCACTCGGGAGGTGGGAGTGATGGAGAAGACCTGATAAGGGTAGGTGGCATGAAGAATGGGGTTGGGAACCACCCGTGATGAGGGGAAGGACCACTGAGCTGTTCAAAACCTGGCTGAGGGCAGACCATGAATTTGTGGTGGCGTTGTCACCCCCACTGTTCTCACTGTTGCACCTTTTCTCCTGGTTGTAGCCAGCAGTCCTGGGGATGGGAGGTAGAGAGACGAATTGGTTTTCTGTCCCAAGATGGGACCTGGGAAGCCAAGGTGGGCAAAGGACTTGAAGGGTCCTGGCAGAGAAAGTGACGCATCCATGGGCTGGACAGGAAAGGAAGTGAAGCTAAGAGCAGGGGATGAGCTGGGGGAAAGGGGACGAGATGTCAGGCTGGGAGCTTCATCCAATGGGGTGGGGACTGTATTCTCTTCTGCTGTGTATCTTCCTTCCTTAATACATAGCTGGGTGCTCAGTAAATGCATTTTGAATGAATGAATGAACGCATGGGTTATGACTCTGACATTAGAGCCAGAGACTGGCATTTTGCTTTTCATCAGAGAGCCAGCAGCATCGATAGTGGTGGCAAGTACCGCTTCAAGTCAGAGAAAACTGAGTTGAAATCCAAGCTTCATCAACAGACTCACAGACATAGAATACAACTTGGGGTTGCCAGGGGGGAGATGGGTGGGAAGGGACAGTTCGAGATTTGTACATACTGACAGGTATATTTGAATAGATAAACAAGTTTATGCTGTATAACACAGGGAAATAGATACAATATCTTCTAGTAGCTCACGATGAAAAAGAATATGAAAGTGAATAGATGTATATTCATGTATGACTGAAAAATTGTGCTATACACCAGAAATTGACACAACATTGTAAACTAACTGTAAGTCAATAAAAAAAAGAGGAAAAAAATTCCAAGCTTCATCAACAAAAAGCTGTGTGACCTTGGACAAGCCACCTAACCTTTCTGAGCCTAGACCTTCTTTTCTATAAATGAGGATAATAACAGCTGTCTGGGAAGTTTGTTCCAGGGATTAAATGAGATGCTATGTGTTGAGTACCTGGCATAGTATCTGGCAATCTGGGATCACTTGTTAAGTACTACAGGAGAAATAATGGTCTCCAAGAGCCTGGGGGCTTCATCCAAATCCAACTGCTACTTTCAGTTAGAGGACACGAGTGCAGGACCTGAAGCTAAACTGCTTCCTAAAATGCAACTAACAGTGACATTTCTGAGCCTGTTTCCTCATTTATATAGTGGGGATAATATCAGGACCTACTCAAGAGACTGGTTGGGAGAATTGGGTGATAATTAATATGAAGCACGTAGCACACTGTGAGTGCATGGTAGATACTGACTTCTAGGATTCCGCATCATCTGAGATGGAAAAGATCATGGGAGGAGCAGGCTCTGTTGAGAGTAGACAAAAAGGAGTTTTGGACATGTCACGTTTGAGATGGCATAAGACATGAAATGGAGCTGTCAGATGGGCAGTTTGATGTAAGTCCAGAGGGGAGCTCTCAGACAGGAAAAAAAAAAATCTGGGAGTCACCAGCATAGAGATGACATTTTAAGCCATGGACTGGATGAAATCACCAAGGAAGTGAGTGCTCAGAGGAAAGACAAGAATGAGGACTGAACTCGGGGGCATCTGACCTTAGCAATGACGGAGATAATTGTCACTGCAAAGCTGGTGACCAGACAGAGTGGTGCTGAGCTGCACAGCCAGCCCACCCCAGCAACATTTATTAACACACTCTTACATGCTCTGTGCCAGGCTCTGAAAAAAGTGCTTTACAAAAATTAACTCATTTAATATTCATAACAACCCTTTAAGTTAGGAGCAATTATCTCCATTTTGCAGATCAGAAAACTGAGGCACAGGGAGACTTGCCCAAGGACATGTAGCCAGCAAGTGGCAGAGCTGGGATTCAAACCCAGGCAGCCTGACCTCAGAGTCTCCACCTCTTCTAGTTGTAAATTTCTAAATCTAAGTTCCAATTGTGGATAAACAAAGTGCCAACTGGACTTTCCAAGGGAATGCTGAATTTCTTAGTCTCTGACCCTTGAGAGCAGGCCTAGGAGAATCATCGTGGAATAAACTGCCAGCAGACGCCCCATTCAGCCTCGATACTCCAGGATCAACCCCAATTAGCATTTCAGATTCTTGGTTGAGGAAAGAAGAGGAAGGGGGGGTTTGATCAAGGAATCTGTAACCCTGATGGATCATTTATTCCTGGGGTAGGGAGGTCAGGGGGAGACCCAGGGATCCTCCTCCGACCATGGACTCAAGCACCTGCATTTCCCACCTTCTTCACTAGTTCCTCTCAGAATAAAGCGGCTGATCTGAGGCAGGAGCCAGAGTCCAGGTGGGAAGTTGGGGTGACCCAGGGGGATTAGCCTTGGGGTCATTCTTTATCTCCAGAGGTATGGTCGCTCTGTTGGTTCAATTGCCCCATAAAACCTCACTATGATACGGAAGCAGCTTGGGTTCATTTACCCCACTTGGAAGGTTTTCAATGAGTGTCTGAACAATTAATTGAACTCCAGGTGAAGAGGAAAAGAGATAGGGCGTGGAGGGAAGAAGGCTGGACGGTCAAATGCACATACAGACCCCAGCGAAGGGGAGAGGATGACAGCTGAGTCAGGCGTCCCGGTGCCACACCCCTACCACTCCCCTCCCGCCCTTGATGCTGACTTTGGATGAGCCACTAAGGGGAAAACAGTTCTGCCCATGCAGAAAGAAGTCAGTGGGAAAGGGAGTTAGGTGGGGGTCTGGAGAGCCATCTGGTCCAACTGCCAGCTCTTGCCCACGTCCCCTGGCCTGGAGCTTCTCAGGGCAGCTGCATCACCACCACTGGGGAACTTGTCAGGTGCAGATTCCACGACCCCACCCAGCCCCACTGAATCAGAACCTCTGGGGCTCAGGGCCCAGGGGTTTCCATTTTTTCACAAGCCCTCCCCTCCTGCACCATCAGCAGTGTATGAGGAAGACCACACTCTGAAAAACACATCCTCCCAGCCTATCCTACACTGATCTGAACAAATAAAACAACGTCGGAGGTCTCCCATGAGGAAGTATGGGATGCAGGCTCCCTCCTTTACAGGGATGATGATATCATTGGGAGATAAAAGACATACTTTGTGAAGAGTTAAATTAATGCTACAATAAACAGTAATTGAAAACAATAGGCAGACAGGCTGGACAAACTGCCCATGAATGGGATTAACAGTATCATTCACTGAGTACCTACAAATGACTAGATCCTGTGCTAAGCCTATTATGTATATATCCTCATTTAATCTCATTAAAACTCTGGAAGGCAGGTGTTTTTATCCCCACTTAGCAATGAGGAAATCCAGGCTTTGGCTTAGTTGTCAGTTTCTCTCAGATTGGCTTTCCCCGCCCCTGAAGAGGTGGTCAGGGTCCTGCCTCTGTGCTCCCACAGTATTCCAATCTTGCCGCTTTATCTCATGTATCACACCACGTTGTAGTTGCCTGTTTACTGGGCTGGGTCTCTCACCACCCAGACTTGAGGACAGATACCTGGTGGTTCCAGAGTCTAGCACACAGTAGGTGCTCAGCTAATATCTGTTGGATGAATGAAGGTTGTGAATCTGAAGTCTCAGAGCTCATACAGGGAGGCTAACACATGCAACTGTAACGCCCAGGCTTCCCCTTGAGTCATTACAAGCAGATGGTACACACCCGGGGGGGTTCCTGTAAGGGACAGACTATAGATTGGAGTAATCAGAGGAGGCTCCCTGGAGGAGGTGGAGTTGCACAATCTGAATGTGGAAAGACGGGTGAAAGGTAAGCAGTCATTCCAGGCAGGCCAAGGCATGAAGGCGGGATTCTACAAACTACAGACTTCCTCTGAGACTAGAGACCCCAGGGCATTTCAGGAGGCTACACCCCATCCATCCCCTGAGCCTCTCTAGCTTAACCACCAATTGTCTCCTTTGTCCCCCTTACATCCCAATCACTGCTGTGAAATGATTTTCCTCCAAGGTTGACAGGGAGATGGCAAACACTCCATTGCTCTCCCATGCCTAGACCAGTGTGACATCATGCTTTCTTTTAGCGGCTTTCTTCTCTGTTTGGAAAGTCCCTTTTAATAATGAATGGGATAGTTTTCAGTTTCCAATAAGAAGTAAGATCCATTAATGTCTATGATATATTGCTAAGGGGGGTGAAAAAAGCAAGACAAAACAGTATGTTTGGATTTCATTTTGGTTGAAAAGAACAAGGAGGGGAAAAACAGACTAGGCACAAATATGTTTGTGTGCATGTGGGAAATGCCCCGAAGGTTATATACTGAATTTGACGGCAGCTGCTCTGGAAAAGGACATGCAGTGGGATGTGGGGCTTTCCCCTTTACTTTATCCCACTTTGAGCTTTTGTCTTTTTTAAACATTGAGTATGTATTAATTTTACAATTGAAAAATAAGACCCCATGGTGAGATTATAGGTAGCTTTTAGCTTATCCGTGCTTGTTCCTCCCAAATTGTCTATTATGAACGTCTATTACTTTTACAATCAGAAAATTAAAAACCTTTTCCTCCATAAAGAGGCTTTTTTAGAGGAGGGGTAATTAGGGGTTTTTATTTTTTCAATGGAGGTACTGGGGATTGAATCCAGGGTCTTGTACATGCTAATAAGCACGTGCTCTTCCTTTGAGTTCCACCCTCTCCCCGCCATAAAGATTGTCTGAAAAGAAAAGAAATAGAATCTCAAGGTGGCACAATTTGTGATGTCGAGAAGGGTGTTGTTTGGGGGAAATTACTAACGATGCTCTAAATTCTGAGTCCCAAGAAATTCAGCACCCGGGCAATCTGGGGGGAAACCAATTCAGTCCCAACTTGACAAAACATGTTAAGAGCTATACGAATGCTCCAGATCCCATAAATTTGTCATCCCATCCTGGAGCTTTAGCTCAAGGAAACACTTAAAAAAATTCTCCACATATAAAGAAGCTCACTGTGGACTTTCATTTCATGGGGTAGCTTGGGATCCCCCTAAAAGTCCAACAGCAAACATTATGCAGCCGTTTCTCATAATAAACATGGCTGCTTTATAGAAACAAGGGACTGTGTCTATAAACTAACACTGAGCAAAAGAAAAGAGAACGGAATATAGGCAGTTAAC